AAAGTCACAATGTCAAAGTTCACCCACTTGCTAATGAGATCAGGTCTAGGGAAGAAACTCTTGCTGCAGCAGGCAGGCACAGAAATCTTTCCTTTTCAGTTCTCTGCAACCAACTAAGGGCCTTCCCTTTCTTGGAAGGGAAATCCAGAAGAGGTGCAACTGGACCGAACTTGAGAAAAACGAGAGAAAAGTAAAACGGAGAGGTGAAACAAGAACCAGTCCTTGGACTCAAGCACGCTCAGAACTGCAGCCAGAGGCAACAAGAGATTCCAGGTTGGAAGTTTCATCAAGTGTCATCAAGTGTCTAGTCCAGGGTTTCTCAACCTTAGCAACTTTGAGATGTATGGACTTCAACTCCCAGAATTCCCCAACCGGTATGGCTGGCTGGGGAATTCTGGGAGTTGAAGTCCACACATCTCAAAGTTGCTAAGGTTGAGAAACCCTGGTCTAGTCTTTCCTCTTGCGAGGCAAGAATCCTTCAAGAGCGTCTTTCCGAGGCTCAGGGGCCAGATCCACAGCTGGAAAGTGGCCAGGCTGGAGATTTCCCTGTCTCAGCAGCCTCGGAGAGCCTCCGGTGCGTTAGTCCGAGCGCTTCCTTTCCGAGAGTCAGAGCAGGAGCAACAACAGCGACAAAACAGCAAGAACCTCAAGATTGACAGCAAGGTGCCCTGGAAGAGGCAAAACAAGCGGCCGGAGCGGCGATGGGAATATAAAGCATGCTCTCAGCGTGTCAGAAACCAATAGAAAGCTAACCACACAGTCACCGATGATTTATGGGACTGTAATTGGTTATAAAAAATCTTTTAAGTGGCTGTAACCAGGCCTCCAGGCTTCGCTTCCCCTGAGGTCTGCCATCAGCTCCACCGGAACGTAGTAGCACTCGGACAATCGCCCCTACACAGCCTTTCCCTGTGTAAAGGGATGGGGGGAGGGATAAGGGTCTCAGGGTACCCAGGACCCCTTCCATATAACCCAAGCTTTCATTCACGTCAGCGGTAAGCTTGGGCTTGAGCAGGAAGTCTTCTCAACACGGCCGAGACCTTCTTTTGGACAAAAGATACTTTGGGGCGGGAGGGGAGGGCTGTCCCCTCCACGCCAACTTTTATATGCAGGGAAAGACAGGTTTTGCTGGAGGAATAGCTCGTGGAGCCCCCCAGTTGTGCTGGATTACAACCCCCATCATCCGTAGCCAGAGGTATCCGTGGGCAGGGGTGATGAATACTGCAGTCGGCCAAGAGCGAGAGCGCCTCGGATTGAAAAAGTTCAGTCCGGGCACCTCGCCCGCCCCCGCGCTGGTTGAGACACGCGTGCCGGTTGAGTTCAGCGGCTCCTCCGGCTGTTTCGTTTCGGGGAAGTTCCTGCGCGCAAACCTCACGGGTGTTTCGTCGGGGAAAAGCGACCGAATCCCATCTGTTTTGGGGACTCCTTTCAGCGGATGCGGCTGTTGGCTTCATCTCGAGATAAGTTCTGGGAGGAAGGTCGGAGCCTTCTCGCCTTGGCAACCAGAGAAAAACGCCGTCAGAATCGAGGGAACTGCGGGTCTCTCGCCTCGCAACGATTTCTACGTTGCGTGCCCTGAACCTTTCAGAAAGACCATTTTATTTGTGCTTCTTTCGTTCAAATGCTTAGGACGATAGGATCAAGGTGGCATTTTGATCGTGTGCGCATTGTATCCGCACTCAAAAGATTTTTTATTCCTCGCCCCCAGAATATACATGGACCTTCTGTTCAAGCAATTCTGCCTGCCCGTGTGTTTGCACGCGCGCACGCTCAAGCATACATGTACAGACATGTCTCTCTTTAGTCAGAATCTCGAGCTCATTGGAACTATATATAGTAACTGAATCTCCCGATCCCGGGCGCTTAAAAACTATATGGCCTACGTGCATTTGGCAGGAGTAAATCCTGTGGATTTTCAAGGAGCCCTCTTCTAAAACACGGGTCAAGTTTTATGCAAAATATTGGGATTTAAACCGGTTCCAATCTCACTGGAATCCAGATATTAGATTTGGATACTGTATTTAATATTAAATCTGGGCTGGACTGCCTGAAAGAGAATCCCTTATCTTCCGATTCTAAATTGGAATGTATCTCTAAGCAAGTTATGCTGATTTCTGACTCTTTGCAGCCTACATTGCTTGTTTCCGTGTATGCGAATTTAGCATCTTTCTTTTAATACTGAAAAAGGAAGGCAATATCAGAGTATTTGTCCCACCCCCACAATATTTTGGCCCTCGCCCTATCCCAGCTCTAGAATTATGCCAAAGTCTCTCTAGTGAGCTATCCCACTGCAAGCGCCCCATCTGGAGATGTGGGGATTGGACAATTCCGATGAAGCAGAGGTCTCTGAAAGTTGTTTCACGTGTGTCTGTGGCAGGCCCCGGCATGGTCCTCAGTCGCTCTCCAGGTGCCCCAGGTCCAAACATCGTAGGTGAGAAACTGTGTAGGCCTTCCTGCTCCAGGGTTTGATCCTTGCTCCCGGAAGGATAACCTGAGCTGTCTATCAAAACCTTGACAGATTGCCACTTCTGGCTCGGTGTTCTCGGTAGCCCTTGATGGGCCCCACACTGATGTTTCTTTCAGGCTTGTTCAGCCTGCTCCCACATTGTCACCTTCCAGTGCTTCTGGACTACAACCCTCCTAGTAGCATAGATTTCCCCAGGTCGGAACCTATGGACTCTGCAGCGTGGTGGCTTTGAAGAACAAACGATCAGAGGAAGCCCAACCTCAGCTTCCCCGTTTTCCATGTCTACCATTGTTCCTCCAGCCCTCCTTCAGATCTGGAGTGCCACTACCTTTTTCAGAGCAAATGGTTGTCTTTATAACAAAACCCACTGCAAAAAGAAAGCAAATCTGTCTACGGTGAGGAAGGGGATGTGAGCCTGCTAAGATCCCTGAGTTTTGTTTAGGTGCTTGCCAAGACTGGCCCATCTAATGCGGTCCTTGCGGGAATTATAATAGTGCGAACTGATGAAGTGCTTTGAACTCCGCAAAACCTCCTGAACGTGCCCTGCTGATGCCAAGGGGCATTTAGATGAAGCTGAAAGTCACACATTGCCACTTCAGCTTTTGAATCTTTTGAAGCTGAAGCGCCTGGAAGATGTTCTCTTCAGTGCAATGGAATAGTTTTGCTGAGGACACGCAGAATGCAGTTAAGTTGGCTTGGGCAGGATACAGTACCAGTAGTTTGTTCCAGTTTGGATTTGCAATTTTCTGGGAGGGGCTGGAAATGGCCAGCCGAGTAAGCCAACTCCATAGCCTCTGATGGAGCTGAAAGGGTTGGAGGAAGTTGATAGATTAGGTGATGACAGTAGACTTATCCATGCTAATCCAGGTTTGTTAGGTGAACTAGCTGACGTTTTGGAGCATCAGATCCAGCTATGGTAGAACAAGGCGTGAATTCCCCCCACCCTGGCCTAATTGGCTGCCGAGCCAGGTAATGCTGCACTGGGACTGGCTGAGGCCTCCAAAGAGTCATAAAGCGATCCATGGATCTCCCCGCGAAGCATTTTCCAATCTTTGGAATTTAGGATCTGCTCTGGTGGAAAAGGAGGATGGGTAGCAGGCAGCCACAACTCTGGGAAAGGCAGGATCCTATACCTGTTTCCTGCTAGTCTCTGACCAGCGCTCTGATCTTGTGGATTCAGGAGTATGGGTTGCAGTTCATGCTCAAATTCCAACCAAAAAAAGATTCCTTTTCTGATTCTTCTCTGTCCCTCTCCCCGTAATTCCCTCCCTCCCTCCCTCCCTTTTTTGCTGAACTAGTGGATGATTGGACAGCTTAGCCTAAAGAACTGGATCTGTAAAAACGGCAAAAACAGTGAACTGTTGCATTCGCCCCTCCCAAAGTGGAGGTGCAGATCTGTGAAGGAGCGTTGCCTGTGAACTCAGCACCTTCTGCCCTTGAGAAATCAGAAGAAGCTTGATTTCAATGGGAGTTATTCCCAGGGCAGTGCGAAAAGCTTTGCAGGCAAAATTGCCGTGGGAAGTCTCCCGATAAATTGCTGCTGGAGGCATCTCGATCAATAAATCGAAAGGGTGGGGGCAACTTCCACAGGAGTAACCCCAGGATCAGGGCTCTTCATAGCAGAGATTCTGAGCGCAAATATCCTTAGTACAGTCTTATTCCCGTACTTTTCACTCATTCTATGTCAAGCCCCCCCCCGCCCCCCCCCCGGTGCCCCTTTGGAATCAATGGCCCAACAAACGGTGACTGTGTGTAAGGAAACCCAAATAATGGAAATTAAATTATATTTTCACTGAATTCAACTGCCTCGAATGATAAAACACAAACGCACGTACCCACGGCTCCATCGGAACCTTTCAAACCCGGAATCGCAGTTTGGATGGAGCCCCTCCAAGGTGGGAGGCTCGAGAGAAGAGTCCTTTACCTGCCCCCTCCCGGAAAGAAAGGGCTGGCCGGGAGTTGCGAGGAACTTGGGCAGGAACTCTTTCTTTTACGTAGGGGGTGTCACGGAAGCTGGGCCCTAAAAGCAAACGCGTGCACGCGCAATGCACAGACGATCGACCCTCCGACCTGACCGCGGCGACGGTAGCCTTGTCGCATCCTTTATTTCCTGCCAAGCAGGTTCCGGAGAGTTGGCCCTCTTCCTCTTTATGAGGGAGAACTGGGACAGCACAGCTTGCGTCGCCAAAAGAAAGCCGGCGGTTGACCGTCTTTTTCTTAAAGCGACGGACCCCGAAGCCGGTGGTTCTCCGATCAGAGTCGCCGCACTAGTGGAAGCACTGATATACTTAACTCTGGAATCAGTCAGCTCGGCCCCTGCTAGCTTTCTTCGCTTTCCCTTTCAAACCTGGAAGTCAGAAGCGTCCCTGCCAGAGGGCCTCGGAGCTGGTGCAGAGTGCCCTCGGCAAGGCGCCCCTGCGCGACCGAGTGCGACCGCTTTCCTTCCCAGGCCGAGAGGCAGGGCCCAGGCGGGCGCCCGGCACCTCTCCTCGGACCGCCTCACCCCCCAGCCTGCCAGCCCTTGCCACCTTACCGGGTCCCCCCGCCGTGGGTTTCCTCATCCAGTCGCAGAAGTTCCGCCGCTGGCCACCAGGGGAGAGAGGATCCGAGCCGGGCGGCGGGTTGAGAGGCTGCATCAGCCCCGCGGAAGGGGGGACCCCGCAGGGGGGCGCCGGAGGGCCCTGGGAGGGGTGGTGCGGGTGCGGGAGGTAGTCTCCGGCGGGGCTGTAGGCCAGTCCGGCTGGGGGGGGTCCGTGCAGAGCGCTGGCGGCCGCCGTCCCCGGGGCGCCCCCTTGTCCATAGCCGTTCCAGTCATCTCGCAGGGGCGCGCCGTAGGCGGCTGGCCAGGGCGACCCGGGCGACTGAGCGTTGTCCAGTCCGATTCCGGCGGGCACATG